GACGCTGCCCGTGCAAGGCAGAAGGCCGCCTGCCCAGCCGCGGCCGCTGTCGGTTCTGGACAATGTTTGTTGATGTTGGGGATCGTACCCCGTTCTTCCGTACCCGTTTCGGGCGTCCAGATTGCGAAGGCCTTATGGCCGGTGCCGCCGACCTTCAAGACGACGGAGATGAAAACGAGGGTGAGGAGGAGCAGGAGGAGGAGGAGGAGGAGGAGGAGGAGGAGGAGGAGGAGGTAGAGGAGGAGCAAGACGAGGGGAGGAGGAGGAGGAGGAGGAGGAGGAGGAGGAGGAGGAGGAGGAGGAGGAGGAGGAGGAGGAGGAGGAGAAGGACGAGGAGGAGCAGGAGGAGGAGGAGGAGGAAGAGGGCGTCCAGAGGTTGAGCCAAGACAGCGGCGGCGCAGGAGTGACCTCTGCAGTGCGCGGCCTCTGGGGGGTACGGGGGGACCCGAACCGAAGCACACAGGCCGCTTCTGGCTGCACCGCCCGCAGAGACTGGCCGGCCGCGAACCAACGGTTTCTCTTGCCTCGGGTCTGTCCTACTATCCTGCGTGTAGCCGAAGGGCGCAGAAAAACTGCTCATCGCCCTGCCCACTCCGAAGTGCAGTGCCTGGCCGCCCAGGTCCAGCCAGGGGCAACGTTAGGGGGGGTACGGTCAAGGGTTTCCGAGGTTCTAGGTTCGAGGTTTTCGGGCGTTCTCGCGGGTTCTCGGCGGCTTCCCAGCCTCGGGGTGCCTTCACCAGCTGCGCCTCGCCGACAACTTTCCAGGGACGCCGGGATCGTCACGAACGGCCGCCAGAGGCCCAAGTTATGACCAGTAGGGCACCAGGGGATAGGCTCAGGGGGGGATGCATGGACCCCCAGTCGCTTGTTCATCGCCGACAGGGGACCCCATAGCCCCACCCCGCCCAGGAACGTGCGGATTCGCTATCGGGGGGCCTGTCGTCGATCTGTCGGCGGTGCACCGCCGATTCCAGCGCAGTACTTCCCCGCACCTGAGCTGGTCCCCCTCCTAACACTCCCCCCTGGAGTAGGAGGAGGAGGAGGAGGAGGAGGAGGAGGAGGAGGAGGAGGAGGAGGAGGAGGAGGAAGAGGAGGAGGAAGAGGAGGAGGAGGGGGGGAGGAGGGGGAGGAGGAGGAGGAATGTCCAACGGGCGGCGCCGGCTCGCCCAGGTCTGCTCCCAGGGGGCAGCGGAGGCCACGGCCGCGGGCGCCGCGGGACCCGCGGCAGCACCGCCACCACCGCCGGGCGCGGCGCCGGCCGCGGTCTGCGCTTCTAGTTTGTATGGAACGAGTTCGGCCCTTGGTTCCATCGCACACACTCGCTGGCCCCAGGCGCACGCGGCGGACGCAGGCGCGAGCAGTCGCCGCGCCGCCGCTTGGCTCGCGCGCGCCGCGGCGCGCCGCAGGCGATGTGGGCAGGCCCGCGCGCCCCCGCGCGCGGCCGCGCGCGGGGGAAGAAAGAGGCCCTCCTGTCGCCTCTGCTGGACGCGGCCCGAACAACTGGCCAGTTCCGCCTGGGAGGGGTCCCGGGGGAACGATGCCGAGTGGATTCGCCCTCGTCCCCCCTCTCTTGGCCGCTGTCGAGAAGGCGGTTGCCGCCGCGGGCCCGGCACTGGCCGAGGCTGCCGCTGGTGACCTTCAGCGTGCCGAGGGTGCGGCCGCCCTCCGGCGCGCCGCCCGAAGGCAGCTGCACGGCCGTCGCCGCGTCCGCCGCCAGCGCCTCCTCAACTGCACTGCCCTCCTCCGTGGCAGCCGTCCCACGCAGTGGCCCTGTCGGATGGAGGATTGGCGCATTCGCCGCAGGGCGGGGCTCCTGATGGAGCATCCTCGCGCGGATGCTGCCCTCCCTCGCCAGCCTCAGTGGGCTGTCGGGGGTCAGCTGTGGGAGCGCCGGCGGCGGCTGCCGCGGCGGACGCCGAGCGAGGCTTCCCCGGCGCTGCCTGGCGCCTCCCACCCGCACCCCCCATCGCTGCTGGGCAGCATGGGGGCCCCTCACCCAGAGGGGAGTGCGGCCGAGCTCTCGTGCGGCGGGGAGCACATCCGAAATGGTCCCCGCCGATTCAGCCACAACCTGGCAGGCCCCCCTCCGAGGGGCCGGCGGCGGGCGGACTCCGCTGGGGTGGGAGGCGCGCCCGAAAAGGTTCATGCCGACCAAGCGGCAGTGCGCAGCGCGGCAGCTCGCCCCGGCCCACCAATGGGACCCCCCCCCGACGACGACCCCGCCCGAGGGCGCCCCCGCCACCATGCAGCGATCCCGACGTCTGGCGTCTCGATTTTTCCGAGACGCGGGCTCCGACCTTTCGACCACTTCCCTGGGATCGGTTCTTCTGACGGCCCCGAGGCCCGGCAAGGGCCCCGAAAGGCAGAAAATTTAGAGAAACCTCGGTCTGGTCGGAAACTGGAACATCTACATTACCGGTGGCGGGCTGTTTTTCAATCCCAGGACTTTTTACGGGTCGGGGACGACGCTGGGGTGGTATGGTGTATATTTTTTTTTCCCGGTGCCCCGGGGAAACAACGAAAAATGTATACACCTGGGTCCCGTATGCACCAGGATCCGCTCTCCAGTGCAGATCTCAATGCAGGGCCGAAGAAAACATCGGTGTATAGAGTTCGATTCCCTATTCAGGGACCCGAACGTCACCACCCACCAAACCAAACCCGAAGGCTCAAGTTCACCGTCGATTTCCGGTGGGGGGGGGGGTCGGGAAACATCGAACAAACACATGTGGAACCCTTACCCCGCCCTACCCGAAATTCAGGTCTTCGGGTTGGGTTGTGGTGTTCTGGTAGGCAGTCTAGATTCAGGAGGGAAAAAACACACAGACACAATTAATCGTCGACCCCCCAAAAAATATGGGAAATATGGGAAGTTGGGGGGAAGACAAAAAGCCCGAAAGCATGGGATAATATAGTTAGGGAATCCTTTTAGCTGTGTGTATCTACTTGTGTGTCCCAGGGCCCTTTTCGCCCACCCTGGGTCTGGTCTGGTAGGCTCGGGCCGGACGAAAGGGGGGATTGGGAAAGGGGGGGTTACGAAATCTGCTGCATGCAGCTGGTTTCTGCCCCGCCGCCGGGCCCATTCCTCGATACATGGGCGCCTCCCGGCGCCGGGGAAATCAGCTACGAGAGCCGATTCTCACACCCCCCCTTTGCTATCCCCCCCTTCCGCCCGGCCCGACGGGCAGTCGAGACGCTCCCCCGACGACCCATGGTTCACCACTCACCAAACCACCCCAACCCAACCCGAAGGCCTCAATTTGACCTCCATTTCCAGTTGGGGGGGGGTCGGGGAACATCGAGAAAACACATATGGAACCCGTACCCCCCCCAACCCGAAATTCGGGTCTTCGGGTTGGGTTGGGGTGGTCTGGTAGGTAGTCAATGGTGCTCTCTCATGCCCCGCCTGCGCTGACGGGCCGGCGTCGCCGGTGGCCGCGGCTCTCCGCCGTCGGGCGGCGCGGGGCCGCGCGGCCCCAGCCCGGAGCTCCGCCGCGGCCCGTCCGCCTTCTGTTAGGTCGGGCCTGTGCCCCTACAGGGGGAATGTCGACGAGAATTAACAAATACCCCAAGAATGCCCCAAAAGGTCAACAACAATACACAAGAAAGGTCTGGGGATGATTTTTCGTCGACGAAAATTAAAGAACAATTTAAGAGTGCCCAAAAAGGCCAACAGAAATACAAAAAGGTCTGGGGACTAATTGTTTTGATTATTGTTTTGATTATTTTGGGAGTATTTTTCATTTTTCGTCGAAAATCCCCCGGTAGGGGGACAGGCCCGACTTAAGCTTCTGCGTGCTGCCCAGCTCCCCGCGGGGAAACCCAGCTGGCCGCGCGCCGGGCCGAGCCCCGAGGCGGGAAGCTATCCACAGCCACCGCCTGGAGGGTCAGTTTTCGGAGCCTCGGCAGGCGGCGGATATGGACAGTTATTCGGGCCCCCGGGGGCCGACAAATATCCATATCCACCGCCCGCTGGGGCACCAGGACGTCGGTTGCCAGGCGGTGGGTATGGATAAATCCCCGCCTCGCACAGGCAGACCCCGGGAAGTTGTCCAGACGTGCATCGGAGAAACTGGAGCAGCCGGACGTGAGAAGGAGAGTCCGGGCAGCGGGGGAAGACTCAGCAGCGACAGGCAAGCGGATGGCCTTGCCGATTCCAGGCTGGAGCTGATTATCTCCATCAGGGGGCCTCTCAGACATCCGACAGCTCAATTTTTTCGGTGCGCGGCCCCCGGAGGTCTGAACCACTTCCCGAGGGCCGGCATCTCGTCCCGAGTTGTTCTTCGACAGCCCCGCGGGACCCGACGAGGGCCCCCCCGGAGGCCGAAAACAGCAGGAGACCGCCCGCTCCAATGTTTGTGGAGCGTCGGATCTCTCCTCCTCCTCCTCCTCCTCCTCCTCCTCCTCCTCCTCCTCCTCCTCCTCCTCCTCACCCCTCCTCCTCCTCCTCCTCCTCCTCCTCCTCCTCCTCCTCCTCCTCCTCCTCCTCCTCCTCCTCCTCCGGGGCCGTCCCTCTGGCGCGTCCCTCTGGCCCTGGCCGCCTGCGCGTTCGCTGTCGTCTGCTGCCCGGGGCCGGGTGCGCGGCCGCTTTCCCAGATCGGGGCTGAGTAAGACGGGGGTCACTGCAATCGGGGGTCCGTCAGAGGGCCGGATCCTGCATGACCCTGCACAGCCAGGGGTGCACTGCTCCAGGCTTGCGTGCGCAGGATCTCTTGCAGGATGCTGCAGGGATCCCGCGAGGCCTGACCGACCCGAACATCCGATCCCCGACCGAACATCCGTCGTCGTGAGCTTCTCAGTGCGGGGTCCCCCGAGGTCTGGACATGTTCCCCGGGGCCTCGAGACGTTGGAAGCATATATAGGTTTCCCTGTGCACGCCGCGGGGAGGGGCGCTTTCCTGAGGAGGTGGTCGTCCTATCCCTCCGTGGTGCTTCCTGGCTGTCTGCCCCCTCGCCGGCCGCCTCCTCTGCAGCGTCGCGGACCGACCCCCCTTTTTCCAGGAACACAGAGCAGCGCTCGATCCTCGACGTCTTCAAGAGGCGTGAGCAGGGAGTGGCTGAGGAGTCGCGCCTCTCAGAGGAGGGCCGGGTACCGATACTGCTACCCTATGGCTCGTTTTTGCTATCTTGGGCCTCCTGGGAGGCCCTCCCGCCACGGCCGGATCCGCCTCGAAATCCTGGTCGGAGCGAGCCCCCGGAGAGGTCCAGGGAGTAGCGGTATCAGTGCCTTTTGGTTTCCGAGGCGCGATTGGAAGTGCAGCCAGGCCCTGGGACCATCGTGTTTCCTCCAGGGGCATACGGGGGTTCTGTTGGGTGCGGGTCCCAGGGCGTGTGAACGCCTTCCGTTGTCCATCCTGGGACTTGCCGCAGCGAGAATGCTCCAACATGGCCTGGCGTAAGACACATATGTGTCCATGTGCAGTTGACCACGTATCATCACTTTCTATATGAATGCATGCTGTGTTGATCGCAGGAAACAGAGTTGAAGGTCACGCCCTGGAGGCCCTGGAAGCTGAGGGACTCGGGGGAGCACTGGGGCACTCGGGAGCCTCGGGAGGCCAGCCGAACGGTGGAGAAAAGATTGCCAGGGTGTGTTGTCAACGCGCTTCCGAGCCTGGGAGTGGCGCGAGCAGCAACACCGATCCCTCACGTTTGCAAAGCTCATTACGTACAATGCATGAGTCAATGCACCTGCTGACTCAAGTATCTTATGTCTTTCTGCAGTTTGCGATGCCGCTAGTCTCCAGGAGCAAATCTGCCATCGTGCTTTCTTCTCTGTCTTCGATGGTGTCCTTTGTTTGCCAGCATCGCAGTGGGCTCAATGGTGACCAGGTTGCAGGAAGCATAATACCGATCCTTCATGGCGACCGATGTGCAACAATCATGAGAAGCCAACTTACTTACGAGGGAAGTTCATAACCTGGTGGCCTCCCCAAGGAGCCATGATGGACCATACAAGTGCAATGAACTCGTTGCCAGTGTCAGTGTCGGCCGCACTACATTACAGACGTCCGAGCCATGAGAAGTCTAGGGTCTGGGGACGAGGGGCTAAATCTCTCTGGTGGACATTCCGTGGTCCGAATGCCTGCCAAGAGGGCGTGCGCAAGTGGAGACACTTCGTGTCACTCATGATGCGCTCTTGCCCCTCAGATGGATTGCGCTTTGTAACCATGGCTCTTGTCGAGAATGTATAATGAAACCGCAGCGTGTCAAGATCATGAAAGCTTCTGGGGTGGCCACCTAGCGCTCCAGGAGTGCCACAAGAACAAGCCTTTGTGCTTCCAGGCGGCTTTCCTTTTCTCTGCTCTCGCTGGGCTTCGCACCATGTATCCAATTGTAGATTATATGCCGTCTTAGCCTGAATGTGTTTCTTGCCCCTTCTTTCAAACCATCTGTCGGCTGGGCTGGGGCATTTGAGATGTAGTTATTTACAGATTTCTCTCCGCCCAGCCGCTGACCCCCAGACGAGTATACAGTCTACGTTGATGAGCTCTCTCAAGTTTGATTTTTGTTGGTGGCCGTCTGATTCCGGTATTGCTTTTGAGCGAGTCCATCAGGCAGGCAGTCAAGTTTCATGGGATCACGCTGGTGGCACAGAGGATCGCGCAGTGTACCGGTTACGGGAGTTGTTGTTTGCGTTGCAAGGCCCAGGAATGCATCCCATCATAACGATGTTCGCGAATTTTGCGTGGCGCAGGTTCGTGCGAAGTCATTTGGGCGGGTGGGCTGGTCTTGCGGCCTCCTTGGCTTGGTGACCTCCTCCTTGGGCCGTCTTGGGGCCCTCGCGGACCCTTTCTTTGTTCGGCAGTCTTGATGATCTCTTGAGGCCGGCTGCTGCTCTGTTGGACTGTATTGGAGCTCTCCGGGACTACCAGGGGGCCTCTCGATCGTCTTTGGGGCTTTTCGGGCCCTCTTGAAGCCCTCTTTGGCCGTCTTGGGGCTTGGGCCATCTTGGGGCCTCTCTTGGGGCCCTGTTGGGGCCATCTTGGGGCCTCTCTTGGCGTCTTTGGTCATCTTGGGCCTCTCTTGGGGCCCTGTTGGGGCCATCGTATTGGCACCGTCCTGATCTGTCTGCGGGCCATCATGGGATCCTCATGGAATCCTTGTGCACATGATGCGGGCTCCCAGCTGCCCTCGGGGATCCAATTTGAGCCCAAATCGCTCGGGCCGCGAAACGTGTAAGGGGTGTGCGGGATTGAGGGCGGGTGCGCCATGCGAAACCCGCCGCTGAGGCCTTCAGTGGAGCTCCCTACGGGGCCACGAAACGTATGATGGGGTGTTCCGATTTGGGGCGAAGCCTGTCGCTGGGGCCTTCGGAGGAGCGCCCTATGGTGCCACGAAGCGTGTGAGGGGTGTGCCGAGCTTGTGGCGGGTGCGCCATGCGAGCCCTGTGACTGGGGCTTGCGGCAGAGCTCGTGTGGGGTGTGTGCCGATTTGGGGGCGGGTGCCCCATGCGAGCCCTGCCGCTGAGGCCTTAGGTGGAGCCCGCCATGAGACGCGTGAGGGGCGCGCCGATTCGCTGAGCGGGTGCACCGTGCGAGCCCTGCCGCTGGGACCTGCGGTGGGGCTCCCTACGGGGACACCAAACGTGTGAGTGGTGTGCTGAATTGGGGGCGGGTGCGCCACGCGAGCCCTGTCACTTGGGCCTTCGGTGGGGTGGGGCCACGTAGCGCGCGAAGTGTGCCACGCGAGCTTTGCCGCTGGGGCCTTCGGTGAAGATGCCCACGGGGCCACGAAGCTTGTGAGGGGGTTCCAAAGTGGGGGCGGGTGCGCCATGCGAGCCCTGCCGCTGGGGCCCTCGGTGGGGCGTCCTCTGGGGCCACGGTGCGTGGGAGAGTGTGTGCCGATTTGGGGGCGGGCACGCCATACGAACCCTGCCGCTGGGGCCTTTGGTGGAGCTCCCTCTGGGGTCACAGAACGTGTGAGGGGTGTGTCGAATTTTGGGCGGGCACGCCATGCGAACCCTACCGCTGGGACCTTCGGTGGAGCCCCGTGTAGGGCCACGAAGCGTGTGAAGGGCAGAGGCAGAGGCAGGGATGGGAGGAGGGAGGAGATGGAGGAGGAGCGGGAGGGGGAAGGAGTGACGCGGGGGCGCTGTCGATTCGAAGGGACGAGCCAACACGAGAGGATGTTTGGGACTCTTCAGGACATTCAGTGAGGCGGTGCAATGATTGAATCAAGAGGTTCAGGCCGTCTGGGGATCCTGTCTGAGCTTTCTTGGGGCGTATGCGATCGCCTTGGTGACCACGTGATCCCCTTCCAGGTTTGTCGTCGGGAGCTCATGGGCCGTGTTTGGCGATGCCAGAACGCCCATGTCATATTTTCAGTCATGCGAAATGGTGCACGTACGAAGTTGCACGCGTCATGTAGCCATCAGATGTGCATGAATGTTTGGTGTGTGTATAGAATCAGCAGCAGGCGTACGTTGCGTTGTGAGCACCGTTGGCTGGCGAGTTTTTCATTTTATGTTTCACGCACTCGATCGTTTTCAAGTCGTGGCCAGTTCTCTGACAGTACGCGATATGTTTCCCTACCCTGGATTGGCCGGAGGAGATTGGCTTGGAGGGTTAGCCCGGTTATCGGGGGTTGGCCGGGGGGAATGGTTTGGCTAATCGTTGCAGGGGATGTTTGCGCCGTCGTGAAGTGTATACAAAGTTTTCAACTTGAAAACGATCGTGCCGAATCTCTGTTCTTGTTCTCCGCGAAGTCCTAGGCGCTGTCATTTGCCTCCTCTTCGTCCTCCTCCAGCGGCTTCATGTTGTTTAGCCTTTTCATTCTCTTCAAGCCCCACTCCTTAACCATCAAGCCCTTTCGTCTTCTTTTTCTCGTCCTGTTTCCTCCTTCAGTTTCTCTGCGTGTGTGTGTGTGTATGTGTGTGTAAGTGTAAGTGTGTGTGTGTGTGTTTGTGTGTAAGTGTGTGTGTGTGTGTGGTGCGGGGCTTGGGTGTAGAAGTTTCGGGCTCTAGCGGTGCGCGGTTCTATCGACGACGCCCCAGTTGCCTGGCCAGAGGCTTATGCACAGGCTTCAAGCAAGGTGCCCGATGTATCGGGGCCCACTTGTTGGCATCATGACTCATGGGGGTCCCGCATGGCGTCAAGCTGACCAGCCCCCAGAACATGGGGCCCGAGCCTCCACGCGGCGGCTGAGACACATCTGCCCCTTCTCTGGGTCCCTTCCCCTCTCCTTCTCCTTTCCCTCCTCCCTCTCCTCCCCCCTTTCATTGGTCTCTCCTCCCTCTCCCTCCTCCCTCTCCTCTCCTTCTCTGGGTCCCTCCCCCCTTTCCTTCCCCTTTCTCTCCTCCCCGCCCTCGACGTCTTCGAGAGGCGTCCTGGGCACCAAGCCTGGGATCTCCGGCGTGTCGGTTAGAGGTTGGGCCAGGCACCGTCTGTCCACTTCCATCGCAGGGGCTCCTTCCCTTACTTCCCTCCTCCCCCCCCCAGGCGTTCTGCTCCTGTTCCTCACCCCCGTCTCTGCCCGCCCCCGCGGAGGCAAACAGCTGCGGCGCAGGAGGAGGAGGAGGAGGAGGAGGAGGAGGAGGAGGAGGAGGAGGAGGAGGAGGAGAGGGGATGAGGAGAAGGAGAAGGAGGAGGAGGTGGAGGAGGACGAGGAGGAGGACGGGGAGGAGGAGGAGGAGGAGGAGGAGGAGGATGAGGAAGACGAGGAAGTTGAGGATAGGAAGAGGCGGAGGAGGATGAGGGGGGATATGCTGATGATGCTGCTGCTGCTGATGATGAGGAGGATGAGGAGGAGGAGGAGAAGGAGGAGGAGGAAGAGGATGAGGAGGAGGAGGAGGAGAGGAAGAGGGAAGACGAGAATGAGGGAGATGCGGCTGCTGCTGCTGATGATGCTGATGATGATGCTGATGATGGAGATGATGATGATGATGATGATGATGAGCTGATGATGCTGATGACGATGAGGATGGATGCTGATGAGGATGATGATGATGATGATGATGATGATGATGAGATGATGATGATGATGATGATGATGATGCTGATGCTGATGATGATGCTGCTGCTGATGCTTGAAGTGATGCTGATGCTTGATGCTGATTGCTATGATGATATGATGATTATGCTGATGATGGGAGGAGGAGACGGAGGAGGAGTAGGGGAGAAGGATAAGGAGAGGAGGAGGAGGAGGAGGAGGAGGAGAGGAGGAGGAGGAGGGAGGAGGAGGAGGAGGAGGAGGAGGGACGAGGAGGTGTAGGGTAGAGGATGAGGAGGAGGAGGAGGGAGGAGGAGGAGGAGGAGGAGGAGAGGGGAGATGGAGGAGGCGGAGGCGGAGGAGGCGGAGGAGAGAGGAGGAGGAGGATGGAGGAGGAGCGAGGAGGAGGAGGAGCGAGCGGAGGGCAGGAGGAAGGGAGAGGAGGGGAGGGAGAAGGAGTGCGTCGAGAGGAGGAGGAGGAGGAGGAGGAGTAGGCGGAACAGGAGGACTGGAGGAGGAGGAGGAGAGGAGGAGGAGGGGAGGAGGAGGAAAAGGAGGACGGGAGAGGAGGAGGAGGAGAGGAGGAGGAGGACGGAGGGAGGATTAGGATGAGGAGGTGGAGGTTGACGGGGAGGACGAGGTTGAGGTGGTGGAGGAGGAGGAGGGGGAGGAGGAGGGGGGGAGGAGCGAGGAGGAAGAGGAGGAGGAGGAGGAGAGGAGGAGTGAGGAGGAGGAGAGGAGGAGGAGAGGGAGGAGGAGGCAGGAGGAGAGGAGGAGGAGGAGGAGGGGAGGAGGAGGAGGAGTAGGAGGAGGGAGGACGAAGACGAGGGAGGATGAGGAGAGAACGGGGAGGAGGAGGAGAAGGAGGAGGAGGAGGAGGAGGAGGAGGGAGATGCTGCTGATGATGATGCTGATGGTGGTGGTGGTGATGATGATGTTGATGCTGATGATGATGAGGATGATGAGGATGATGATGACGTACATGATGATGATGATGATGATGATGATGATGATGATGATGATGATGATGATGATGATGATGATGATGATGATGATGATGATGATGATGATGATGATGATGATGATGATGATGATGATGATGATGATGATGATGATGATGATGATGATGATGATGATGCTGATGCTGATGCTGCTGCTGCTGATGATGATGATGATGATGATGCTGATGCTGATGATGATGATGATGATGATGATGATGATGATGATGCTGATGCTGATGCTGATGCTGATGCTGATGATGATATGATGATGAGGATGCGGAGGAGGAGGAGGACGAAGACGAGGAGGAAGAGGAGGACGGGCAGGAGAAGGAGGAGGAGGAGGAAGACGAGGAGAGGGAGAGGAGGAAGAGGAGGGGGAGGAATATGCTGATGCTGATGATGATGTGAGGACAGGAGGAGGAGGAGAAGGAGGAGGAGTAGGAGGAGGACTTGGAAAAGGATAGCGAGGAAACCGATCACTTGATGGAGATGTAGGACGAGGAGGATGGAGGCAGATGCCAGAGATCGCGAAGAAGGAGGAGTCAGGTGCGGTAGATGTGGGGCTGTTTGAACCTTCAGGCTCGCGCACGGCGCTCCTCAGTGCCAGCGTTGTTGGCGAAGTTCTTGACAAGCAGGTTCCGGAGTGCCTGTGGCGATCGTCTTACTGCCAGCGGTGCTGCCAGGATGCCAGGAAGGTTATTCCGAGCGTGCGGACTCGCTCCCAGCCCACATAATGCAGTACGAGCGTTGTTCTTTTGATGGGCCTCCCGCTGCAGCTCCCGTGCGTCTCCCCTCATGTGTCATTTCAGTGCCCCTCACGTGAAGTTCGTGTTGGCTTGTTTCCACTACGTGTCGCGTTGCCGGCGTTGCTGCCATGACGCGTGCGCCAAGCGGGCTGGTTCGCAGAAGCCGCGCATCGAATGCTTAGCGTTGCTGGCAGGAAGCTCCGAGCGCGCTGGCTTACTTATTGTGCATTCGCATGGCCAGCACATTTGCCAAGGATCATGCCGATCAGCTCATTGCAAGAGTGCCTGCTCGCGTTTGATGGTCATCACGCTACTGGCGTTGATGCCAGGAAACGCACTCCAATCGTGCGGGTTCGGTGGCATCGCACATCGCATGGCCAGCGTCGTCGGCAATACATGTGCTCCGCGCGTGCTGGTTCGTTTGTGGCGCACATCGCCTGACCAGCAGTATTGTCATCTGAGTCGATGCCTGCCCTCTCGAGCGCGATGGTCATCGCGGTGCCCGCGGTGATGCTGGAAAGCTCAGTCCGAGCGAGCCTGCTCGCTTCCAGCACGCATCCGGTTGGAAAGCGCGCGCTCGTGACACCCTTCTCGGTCAAAAAGGGTGCCCCAGCTTCAAGCTACCCCCCCCCCTCCCTTGGAAAAAGGGGGGGGACTCCTCAGCTCCCCCCCCCTCCCCTCCTTTCGTGGGGATTTTTAAGTGAGGGGGGGCCTAGTCAAAGGGGGTGGGGGCTTGGATGCTCCCCCCCCCCCTCCCCCCCTTTCGGGGCCCGGGGTGAACTCGGGCTCCCTTTTCCTAAGGGGGGTGGGCTTCCGAAACTACCCCCCCTCCCCTCATTCTGCTGGCTTTTCCAGCTGGAGGGCCCTGGCAGCACGGGGGGACTCGAAACTACTTTTCCTTTTTGGTTTTCGGCGTGCCGTTGGTTTTTGGCGTACTTGTGGTTTTCGGCGCCCTTTTGGTTTTCGTCGCCTACCTGCGTCGATCCAAAGCGATCCCGCTTGGGGAACGGGCCGCGCGCGCCCGCTTCCGCTGCTTTCGACTTGCTCCGCCTCGTCGCGGCGCGCAAGGCCGCGGCCGCCAAAACGTGTGGGTCGGCTGCCCGCAGAAGACTTACAGAACTTTTGGCAGGCAGCACTGGGCATTCTGCCACGCCTCAGCGTGTCAGGGAGCGCCGTGGCGGGTCTGCGCCGGGGCAAAGCTGCACAGAGGGCCTCAGCTGGGCTTTCGTTGCGGAGAATACCCGCTGCACCAGTTTGGCCAGGGCCCCCGCCAGAGATCCGACGCTAAAACAAAACATTGGGCGGGCGTTTTTGGCCGTTTCTGGCCTCTGGCGGCCCTCGCCGGGCCTCGGGACCGTCAAAAAATTATTCAGGACGAGAAGCCAGCCGTAGGGAAGTGGTCCAGACCACTGGGGGCCGCGCATCGAACAATTAAAGCAGCCGGATGTCTGGGCCCACGACTCTCGCGTCGGATGCATGACCGGTGGGAACAATACCGAGCACATTGTCATTATCAGTCGTCTTTGGTGAGCTGGGCTGGCTGCTGTAGGCTGACCAATCGATATTGAATTTCTGCTCGGGGTCAGACAAGTTCGGCTACGCAGAATTCGTAGCCACGGCGACGCTCAAGAGGAGCACTCGTGCAAGGCGTGGCCCCGCAGTCTCGAGATCCCAAAAGAAGCACGCGTTGCTAAAGCATAGGCGGGATCTGGCCCTTTACATCGTGCGACGCCTACTTCCAGCACTTGCCCCGGGGGTCAGCATGTCATGTCCTCGCCGCTGCCGCGAGCGGATGAGGGTGGCCTCGCCTCGAAGTGTCCGTGCCAAGCACAGGCGGGGTCCCGTGAAATCCTCTCTCCTCCCCTTCCTTCTCCTCCTCCTCCTCCACCTCCACCTCCACCTCCACCTCCCACCTCATTCTTTTTCACCTCGCGTGCCGCGTCCCACCTAAACGTTTGACGCCGCCGCTCAGGGGCGTGCATACCAGCTCACCCACCCGAGCAAGGTGGAGCGCGGCTGCACAGACGCTGATGCGACGCTGGCCGCGCTGCCCTGGGCGATCGGGAAGACGCGGAGGAGCAGGAGGAAGAGCAGGAGCGGAATTTTGCAGCCGGAACACGAGAAGGCGGAACAGGAGGATGATGAGGGGGAGGATGAGAAGGAGGAGGAGGAGAGTTGACGTAGAGAACAGCAGAGAGGGAAATAGGAGGAGGAGGAGGAAGAGGAGGAGTAGGAGGAGGACGAGGAAGAGGAGGAGGAGCAGCAGGAGGAGGAGGAGGAAGAGGAGGAGGAGGAGGAAGAGGAAGGGGAGGAGGTGGAGGAGGAATGCGAGGAGGAGGAGGAGGAGGAGGAGGAGGGGAGGAGGAGGAGGAGGAGGAGGAGGACAAGCAGGAGGACGTCGGCAGGGAGGACAGGCAAGAGTTCGACGACCACCCACAGGGGCGCGAAGACCGTCGGGCTTCGCGCCTCCGCGGACCGGGCAGAGGGAGCTGGCGCGCGGGAGCGCGGCTGCAGGTGTCCTCATCGGCTAGGCGCAAGAGTGACCTTGCGCTGGAGTGAACTTTGGTGCGGGCACAGATGGGCCCCCAGAGGTACATCTTCTGAGGTCACATCTTCTGAGGTGCGCCGCTGCTCCCCGCATGGTCCAGCAGTAGATTTCTCGCCGCCGGCCGCCTTAGGCGCTCGCCGTCTTCCGATAGCTTTTCGCCGGCGCCCCGTGGAAGCCCCCTGGAGCCCCCCTGAGGCCCCCCCCCCCAACAAAAAAAAACAGATGGGCCCCCAGATGGCTGAAAGCGGCGCAGGAGCAGCGGCCTGCGCGCCCAGGTTTGGCCCCCCCGCGGCCCCCCAGAAGGCCGCGCACCAAAGGTCACTCTTAGCCAGGGTCACTCCTTGCGCGTAGCCGACCTGAGCAGGTATCAAAAAATGTTCGTGGATGCGCTGCTGGGGATAATTTCGGCCACGCCAGAAGGGGGATAGGTAGCTTCTTAGGAGGCACCTTCCAAGAAGCAGCCTCCTTCTAAGAAGCCTTCCCCCCTCCCCTTACACTCGGACGAGGAGGATAAGGTGCCCATACCGCTACCCTCCCTCCTCGGAGGTCTTCGTCGCCACCGCTGGATTCGCCTCGAAATTCTGGCCAGAACGCACCCAGGGAGAGGTCCGGGGAGTAGCGGTATTGGTATCTATTGGTTTTCCCAACGGTCCCTCTCAGGCTCTATCCTGGGATTTTCTTTCGGTCGCCCCCGCAGCCAGTGCTAGAGCCGAGGGCTTTCTCCGAATCTCTCCGCGGGGCTCTTGCATCTTGAGGTGGACGGAACTCTGCGGCGTGACATCGTGGGGCGATCGGTGGCTCGAGGTCCAAGGAAATGGAAGGTGGGAGCATGTTGCGGGCTTAGGACAGTTGGGTAGCATCAGTGAGCCCCCGAAGCTGGGATCAGCCTGAGTCCCCGCTCAGAAATGGCTAACTTGGGAGACTTTTGGATTGCTATGTTGTAGGTTGACGTTGTGCTGGTTTCTTTTTATGTGTTTGCGTGACATTCGTTGGGATTTTTTTTCTGGATTTCATTTTGCGCCGTCGCCGTGTTGTGCATTGGTTACCTTGTTGTGCGGTTGGGTATTCCGTGGTTGTTGTCTTAGTTGTGTTCATGTGTGTTTGCTGCGTGTGCTCCTTGTGCTGACGTGCGTATTGCCTGCGTCTGGTTAGAATACCCATCGACCCTCTTGGTTGGGAGTTCTTTAGGAGTTGTTTGAACTCGCATCGCTCTTCCTGGTTTTGCGTTGCAGTGCCGTCCTTTGCTTTCAGCTCGCCCTGTGTGACGCCACATTAGGTTGTCGTGTTCTGCGCTGCTGCCGTCCCCTTTCTTTGCCCTCCCCGCTTCCCTCCCTATTCCCCTCGTTTGTGGTCGTCCCGTCTTGCTTGGCAGGAATCACATGCGTCCTCAAGCCCGTTTTGGCTCACTCCTCACGCATTTCGCGGCCCCATGCGGAGCTCCACCGAAGGCCCCAGTGGCAGGAACCACATGCGTGCACATCCCTCACACGTTTCGTGGCCCCATGAGGTTCCACCGAAGGCCCCAGTAGCGGGAATCACACGCGTCCCCAGCCCCGTTTTGGCTCATTTCTCATGCACTTCCTGGCCCCATGGGGAGCTCCACCGAATGCCACCTTGGCAGTACACATATGCGTATCCAGGCGCATTTTTGACATATTCGTCAAACGCTTCGTGGCCGCATGGGCAACTTCACCGAAGGCCCCAGTGGCAGGAAACACATGCGTCCCCAGGCCCGTTTTTTGACACATCCGTTACGCGTTTCGAGGCCGCATGGGGAGCTTCACCGAAGGCACAACAGGCAGGATTCACATGCGCCCCCAGGCCCGTTTTGGCACACCCCTCACACGTTTCGTGGCCCCAGAGGGAGCTCCACCGAAGGCCGCAGCGGTAGGAATCACACGCGTCCCCAGGCGCACTTCGGCACATCCCTCACACGTTTCGTGGCCCCAGAGGGAGCCCCACTGAAGTCCCCAGTGGCATGGCCCGCACGCGTCCCCCCGCCCATGTCGTCCCCCCGCCCCTCCATCCTTCTCACCTGCCTCGCGATGCTCGCAGCTGCATCTGGTTGGGTCCTTCGTCACGCTGGGCTTTCATAATCTGGACTGCCCTAGGTCTAGACCTCTTCTTCGAGACTTGTGTTTCACCTCCAGTCGCTCTCTGACGGTCGGGGGGGGCCCAGCGAGATCTCCCAGAGGCCGAACATGGCCAAACACCTCCCGTCTTGGCATGGGGGCATCTTCTCTCCTGCCTCCTTCTAGGCCTCCTGGATGGGGTCGGAGCAGATGGGGTCGGAGGGTCGCGCCGCACTGCCGATGCATCGACGATGCGGCTCGATGTGGAGGCAGTGTTTCCCCACGCCGACGTCGCCGATGCATCGCCGACGTCATCGCCAACGTCATCGCCGATGCATCGCCGATGCATCGGCGATGCGTGGGCGATTCGGCGTGACCCTCCGACCCCATCTGCTCGGACCCCATCTGGGAGGCCTCGAATCCTGCCAGCTCGCCTGGGGCCATGCTCTGCCGCGAGGGTTCGAGCCCGCGTGGGACCGGCGACAGGTCACGCCCATGCTGGTGGGGGTGGCGGACGGCGTGTCGCAGATCGAGGCGCCGCTTCCCCCTTTGGCTTGAGCCCAGGCCGGTCGACATCGCCCGCCCCTGCTCAGCTGACCTAGGGCTCCCTCGAGGGCGCGAAGTTATTCGCGCTTCGCGCTTCGCGGTCCTCGTTCCTTCTCCACCTCCTCCTCGTCCTCCTATTCTCCCTTTGGGAGGGCGGCGCGAGAGCGCGAAGTTATTCGCGCTTCGCGCTTCGGGGAGCGCGAAGCGCGAAGTTGGGAGCCCTAGCTGACAGATGGAGCCCCACCTCCTCGCGATGTGAGCAGGCCTCGCCGGAAGACGCCTGGCCATCGTCGGCCCTTGGGGAGCCCTCGCTGTGCCCCGTGGGCAGTCGAAAAAAACATCGGGATGAGTCTCTGATCCCGGGGAAGGGGTCCAGGAGGAGGAGGAGGAGGAGGAGGAGGAGGAGGAGGAGGAGGAGGAGGAGGAGGAGGAGTGGTCCAGGTTGTGATCACAAGAGCTGGCACGTCGAATGCGAGCCCGGCCTGCCGGCAGGTGCCCCACGGAAGTGCCGTGTTTCCCCCGCTGGCCTGGGGGGCCCACGGAAGCCTCGGGGCACCCCAAATTTGCCGACGGCCGTGCCCCATGATTTCATTGCTTTTCTCGTGCCAAGGTTTCGGTGTAGAGCAGCGCCGTCCGCGGCAGAACCGGCAGGAAAAGCTGCCACACGGCAGAGTCTGACCCAGTGGCAGCAGCGCCCTCCCACAGGTAGGCGGCAAACGGGGGGTTTAGAAGAATGACGTTGCTCGTCGACGCAATTCGAGAAGGCGGAGGGAGCACGGTCAGGGGCAACGTCAGGAGGGTAGAGGCTCAGTCGGGGATGCATCGACCACCAATCGCCCACTCATCGTCGGTAGGGGCCCGATTGCCCATGTTGAGGGAAGCCGTAGACAGAACGGGCTTAAACACATTTAAACGAGAGCCTGATAATGGAGGATTACGATTAATAAATGACCGGGGGTCGTGTTCACGCGGCGGCGCCCGGGATGACGATTAGAAAAATCCGGCCGCGGGCTGGACAATTATCTCTTTTAATTGTTCTCCTCCAGTCAGAAAATGGTGCAGACATATCAGAAAACTATTGTTTTAATCGTTCTCTCCCCTTTTTTATCAATCGCCACCCCGCATTACGCTATCCGTTCCGCAGTCTCTTTGGGACACATGCTGCCATGGTAAGTGGAGCTGGCCTCGGCCAGCTCCCGCCGGGCGCCCCTCTCCCGCGGCGGAGGGCGCTGGCCATTTTGCCCGAGCGGCCGCAGCCGGCCAGCTGGGCGACGGATCCACGGCGAGAGGCGCGGCACGGCCGGCAGCGCCGAGGCCGCGCAGACGGAGGGCTTCGTGACCCTCACGAGAGAGCAGATCGTGAATTACCTACCCCGCTTTCGCTTCCAGGCAAAACCAAGTCATACCACGCGCCTCCTCGTCAAGGGGCCTGACCAGTACAGGCCGTAGTTTGGCATCGCTTGGTATATTTTGGAAGCGAGGGTGGTCAAAAGCGAGGTAGGCTTGTTTGCCCCCTGAGAGAGCCGATCGAGGCCTACGGGGCCGTAGGAGTACACGGTCGACAGGATCGACGAGATGACGGAGCTTGGCGCCGAGTGGCAGGGCGCAGGGCTGAAGCCGCCGACGTGCGACGGCCAGGAGGAGTATTGAACGGAGTGGTCGTTCGTGATGAGGGCATACCTGGGCGGCCCGACAGCTCAGGCGCAGAGTCTGCTGGAGGCGGCCGAGCAGCGGGGCGATCCCGACATCAGCATGGCGGAGACGCTGCACAGGCTTGGCGCAGAGGGAGCTTCGGCCACCAAGAAGATGTTTTTTCTCGGTGGCCATGACTGTGAAGGGCAGCGCGCAGATGCTGATCAGAAACGTGGAGGACCAGAACGGCGCGCTGGCGCGGCGAGCGCTGGCCAAGAGGTACGAACCCGCGACGGCCATGCGCGCATAGAGCATCACGACTGCGATTCTCAACGTGAAACCGTTCTCTTCAGATTTGTCGGGGTTCGAGCAGCACCACGCTGACTGGGAGAGGGGCATCCGTCGGTACGAGACGGCGTCTGGTGAGGTGTGCAACGGGGGTGTCAAGAAGATCATCTACCTGCAGAAGGCGCCGAAGAGCATCCGCATGGTGCTGCAGAAGCAGAGCGGGAGAAGCCACGACGAGTTGGTCAGCACCACGATCCAGTACGTACAAGCGGCGACGGTGCACGAGGACAGGCACCAGCAGAAGTGGGCAGCACCACAGAGCTCAGGAGGAGACGGCGGCAAAGGAGGACGCCCAACGGGAGTTATGGAAGTGGACGCGCTGACGAAACAGTGTCCCGAACGCAAGGGCAAGGACGACAAAAGCAAGGGCAAGGACGCCATGGGCAAAGGTAAATACCAGAAGGGCATGGGCGCGGATCCCATGGCGAGGGCCGCCGCAGCACAATAACCAGCATGGAACATGAGAGGGGTACCTGGGACGAGGCTGTGCTAGCACGGCGGCGATCCAAGTTACGACAAGGGCAAGCACAAAGGCAAGAAAGGCCAGAAGGGTGGAGTCAACGAGATCACACTAGACGGCTGGAGTAACATCAGCACACCACCACCGATCAGCCCAGCTTCGTCGACGGCAAGCCCATCAGTCAGTCAAACTGGGGCCCGAGCGATCACCACGATAGACGAGTACGCGACGGTGTGGGGAGAAAGCATCAGCTTCGCAGCGACGAAACACGAGACGCCAGAGGTGCAGGAAAGGAAGGTTTACAGCATGATGGGAGACGGACCGTGGCGCACGTTTTGGATGCTGACATGTAACTGTGCGGACGGGAGCGTGTGCGGCCTCAGGGGCTTCCCGAATTTGGGGATCAAGCCTGGGCGGAGTCCCAACCTGATGGTCGCTGACGGCACCCTGCTGTAGCGCTACGGCTCGAAGAGGGTGACGCTCTACATCGCAGGAGACAGGTGCATCATCAGGTCACGTACGTGAAGCAGCCCATCATGAGCGTGGGCAAGTACTGCAGCAGGATGGAGAACAGAGCCGACTGGTGCGACGGCAAGGGCGGCTTGCTGAAGCACGAGACGGCAGGACTGGTCAAGCTTGCGAAGATAAGCAACCACTACGCGCTGGCGTGCTGGATCAAGGTGCACGACGACATGGGAGAATCGCGCAGAGAGATGACGACGCTGGCACCGGTCAGCGCGGTGGCTGCAACAGCGCGACCCGAAGAAGAGGACGCAGACGGCGACGCAGTTCAGCGAGCACTAGCAGGACGACCGCGAGTGCCACAACCCGGAGAGCAGCCCGCGCAGGTTGCACCACGAGGGCGGATGCATTGGCAGACGCACCTGCAGAAGGCTCAGGGGCTTTTCCTGATGATCGCGAGATGGCGGGGCCTGAGACGACGGCCGACAGTCGACCTGGACCTCGAGAGCCGAGCGCGGAGGAGGCCGAGAGGCAAGAGGTGACGCTTTACCCAGCCGAAGCGTGGTGCGAGATCTGCGCCCAGGCGAAGGCGAACGACATGGCCAACTTTTTTATAAAAAAGCACAGGCGCGACGAGCTAATCCCCTTGCTGCGCTTCGACTACGGCCAAGCGGGCATCGAAGGGGACCCCGTCAGCTGCGAGTTCGCGGCGGGCAGCGACGCTTCGACAGGGGGGAATCAGGGGCGCGGCTATTGCCCAGCAAAGGGTCGCGACGACGCCTACGCAGTGGCATCGGCAGTTTCGTGGATAGCCGATCTCGGACATGCGCGAGTGGAGCTGCAAGCGGGCGGCGCAGCAGAGTTCTCGTTCATTACGGCGGTCAGGGCCAGGGCGATCATGGATGGCATCTGCGAGGCGGTTCTCATGCGGCAGCCGGAGAGGCGCAGCGGCCAGGCGAACGGCAGGGCCGAGATAACCATGCAGACTGCGAGGATGCAGGTGAGGGCGCTGATGCTGCAGGCCAGCGAGAAGCGAAAGAGCGTGTTCTACCGCTGCTGGCGGAAAACCGATGGGGGGGTCACTGGGGGTTCCCAGCCCGCCCCCCCCCCCCCCCCCCCCTCGAAAACCGGGGGGGGGGGGGGGGTCGCTGCCGGTTCGAACCCTTCCCCCGCCCAGGTCATCATGAAAAGTGAAGGGGGGTCGCTGCCGGTTCGCTCCCCCCCTGGAGAGGGGTAGCTACCGATTCGACCCCCCCCCCTTCCCCCGCTCGCCGACGGCGAGCGATTCCCGCTCCTCGGGGCAGTTGGACAATGGTGGGGATGCTGGGACAGTGGTGGGAAGGGTGGCGGCGGGGGCAGCGTTGCGGGGACAGTGGGGCAGTGGCGCGGACAGTGGTGGGGGCGGTGATGGCGGGGGCAGCGGCGAGGGGGCAGCGGGGCAGTGGCGGGGGCAGCGGGGCAGTGGCGGGGGCGGCAGTGGCGGGGGCAGTGGTGAAGGCCGCGGTGAGGACAGCGGTGGGGCAGTAGTGCAGTCGGGGGAGCGGTGGGGGCAGCACAGCGGGCGTGGCGGGGCAGCCAGGTGGGGCGGCGGCGGGGGCACTGGGACAGTGGTGGGTACAGTGGGAACAGTGAAATTGGGGAGGGCGTGGCCGTGGCCGGGCAATGATGGCGAGAGTGGAGCAGTGAGACATTGGCGGGGGCACTGGTGGGGGCAGCGGGGGCGATAGTGGGAACAGTGGGGCAGATGTGGGGATTGGGGGGCTGCGGTGGGGGCGGTGGCGGTGGAAACAGCGGTGTGGGGGCCGTGGGGGTGCGATGGGGGCAGTGGGACAGTGGTGGGGGCAGTGGCGGCGGGGGCAGTGGTGAGGGCAGTGGCGAGGACGGCGGTGGGGCAATGGGACAGATGTGCAGTGGGGACAGCGGCGGGGACAGTGGGGGCAGTGGTGGGAACAGTGGGACAGCGGCATGGACAGTGGGAACCGTGGGGAAAATGGGACAGTGGTGGGGACCGTGGGGAAAGTGGGGGGAGTGGGACCGTGGTGGGAACAATGGTGGGGGCAGTGGGGCAGTGCGACAGTGGTGGGGGCACTGGTGAGGACAGGGGGGGCGGTGGTGGGAACGGCGGGGACAGTGGTGGTGAGGGCAGTGCTGCTGGGGGCAGCAGTGGGGGATGTGGCGCGGGCGGTGGCAGGGGCCGGGGAGTCGTTTGCCGGCGGCGAGCGTGGGGGGGGGGCGGGTCGAACCGGCAGTGACCCCCTCCCGGTTTTCTGGAGGGGGGGGATCGAACTGGTAGCGACCCCCCATCGGTTTTGGGGGGGGGGAGTGTCGAGCTGGCAGGCGGCCCCTCCGCCCGTTTCTCTGGGGGGGGAGGGGGGAGGTCAAAACCGGTAGTGGCCCCGCCCCTTCGGTTTTCCAGATGGGGGGGTTCGAATCGGCGGCGACCGCCCCCCCGTTTTCCGGAGGGGGTTTTGCGTGGGGGGGGGGCGCGGGGGGGCGGGGGGGGGGTTTGCCGGGGGGGGAGGGGGGGGGGGGCTGCAGGGGGGGGGGGTCGGAAGAGGGGGGGGGCAGGTTCCGGAGGAAGAGGGGGGGGATTTTTCCCCGGTAGAGCGGGGGGAATCACGCTCTCACCAAGTAGCTGAACCATGGCCTCATGCCCGACTCCCCGTTCCTCGCACCGGCGTGGCGTGGCGCTGCAACAGGCGCTTGGTTAGGGGGGCGCCAACCCTGCGGGAAGACCCACATGCTCAGGTACCAGAAGCCGATCGCGGCAGTCGGCGAGGCGGTGATCTACAGGGGGCCAGGAGCGCAGGTCAACGAGCTGGAGCTTTCGCGGCTTGGGGGGCATCTGGCTAGGGCGCGACGCGAGGGCGGGCGAGCACCTGATCTGATCGGAAAGCCGACTGGAGCGCGCAGGTCAAGGGCGATGAAGAGGGCGGTGGGGAGCAGGCGCTGGGACCAGGAGCTGTTCGACGAGGTGAAGTGGACGCCCTAGGGGCCGACGCCAACGACGAGAAGGGGGCCGCCGACGCAGAGGTCGCTGCAGGGGCTGATCTTACTTTTGCCGTAGCCGAAGCACTTGGGCCCAAGGGCAGCTGCGGCAGCGGCAGCACCGCCAGCAGCCGCAGCCGCAGGAGCTGGAGGGGGACCGCAGCCTGCGCCCGAACAGCCGGCGGCAGCTGCAACGGCAGCTGCGGCAGCCCCCTGCGACGACGCGGACATGGGCAAGAGGCGGCTGGAGTCGAAGAGGCCCAGAGACGGGGGGGCAGCTCCGTCAGCGCCGAGGGCGACGCCGCCACAGCCAGCGGGCATTCCGTTGGCGGAGAGGGGCCCCAAGCGAGGACGTGAGGGTGGCGAAGGAGGCGAAGGCAAGAAGTCCAGGATCAAAATCTGCCAGATGGTCAATGCGGCCATGGAGATGCGCGAGGAGCCGAAGGTGGAGGACGAGGAGACTCATACGCTGGAGGGCGACGTCACGGAGGCAAGGAAGGAGCACTTGGAGAATATTGTTGGTGACGGTAAGGAGATAGTGAAGGTGATCCCGATCAGCGAGACGACGTCCAAGGTCTTGACAGGGAAGTGGGTCGACACCTACCAAGCGGTCGGCAGCGTGACGAGTCGGTGGACCACGATGGGGCTTCGAACGGCAGGTGCACGGGCATGAGAATTTCGCGGCCGCGACCCCTTCGCTTCCACACCTGATGGCGATGCTGGTCATCGCGGACATACGCGACCACGTGGTGGCGTTCGGAGACTGCAGCGGGGCCTTCTACCACGCGCCGCCCACCGAGGACCGCGTCTTCCTGGAGCCACCGCCAGAAGCTGGAGTATATGGAGGACATGTATGGGAAGCTCTGCGCGCATTTCCTGGGTTCAAAGGGGCGCCGAAGATTGGGGGGGCCGCAGCGCGACAACCATGGGGGAGCTGGAGATGGCCAGAGGTCGCTAAAACGGGTGTCTTTTCAGAAGCTGAGCAACAACATGAAGGCGGGAAGGCGCGCCGACGACTTCCTGATCGCGGGGTCGCGCGACGAGGTCGACGAGCTGCTGGAGATGGCGGGCGAAAGGCTGAAGCTGTCAGTCGCGGTGAAGCTCGCCAAAAACGGAGACCAGGCGGCGTTTTTGAGCATGCAGGTGGAGAAGGTCGCGGGCGGCTACGCGGTCAGTGGCAAGACGAGCTTGATCGATGATATCCTGAAGGAGCTGGGCCTGGAGGACGCTAAGCCAGCTGTGTTGCCCGAGACCAAGAATGAAGTGAACGCGGAGAACGACCAGGTGTAGCTGGACGCGGCTGGTCATAGCCGCAACAGGACACGCGTGGGGAAGGTGCTGCAGTTGGCGAGTCGCCGCCCCGACATTCAACGCGGAGTTGGATTTCAAGCTGGGGCATGTCGGGGCCGACGGAGAAGGACCTGAGGAGGTTGAAGGAGATGTCTCGCTGCTTGGCGGGCACCCGCGACTGCAGGGTGCAGCTGATTCCTGACGAGGGAGGCACTGCTGTTCAGTGCTGGGTTTACGCCGACCAGGCCGACGACAAGGCGGACAGGCTCTCGACAAGCGGAGGTGCACTGCAGTGCCACGGGCGCACCATCCTGTCGTGGTCGAGGCGCCAGGGCTGCGTGGCACTGAGCTCGGCGGAGAGCGAGCTGTACGCTCCCGGCTCAGGAGCGGCGGAAGCGCTTGGCCTGGCGTCGCGGTTCGAGGAGTGGCAGGAGAAGACAGTGCCGTACGTGATAAGCGACAGCAGCAGCGTTCTGCATATCGTGGAGAAGCGGGGGCCAGGGAAGATGAAGCACGTGGGGATCTGCTTCCTGGCGCTGCAGCAGTGGAGAGAACAGGGCAGGCTCAACTTTGGAAAGGTATGCACCCACGAGAGTCCGAGCGACATGATGACCAAGCCGATGCCGAGGGAGAAGCTGGAGAAATTCACGAAGATGGTCGGCTTGGTGTGCTCGTAGAGAGACAGACGTTTGAGCCCAGGCAAGTGAGAACATAAGTGAATGAGGAGGTTGCCCGCCTGTGTAGAAGGATGTCGTTCTTGATGGTAAAAGTGGCCTCAGTGGCCTAGCGAACCCAATTTTGTTTCAGAAGCTGTTTCGGATAGTGGTTCCTCCCGAGGTCTGGTTCCAGACTTGGACCTGGCGGCCTCGAGGACGTGTTGAGGGAAACCGTAGGCAGAACTGGTGCAAACGAGAGCCTGATACCTGATGCAGTATCCGTTCCGCACCCTCCTTCTTTGGGGCAATTGTTGTCAGCCCGCCCCGCCCAGGAACGTACATATTCGCTATCGGGGACCTGTCGCCAATTTATCGGCAACGCATCGTCGATTCAAGCCTCGACGTCTCCCCCCTGAATCGGTCCCCTGGTGATTTTCGGACCATACCTCGGGCCTCAGGTGGCCGTCTGGGAAGATCTGGGCATTCCTGGAACGCCCTCGGCGAGGCGCGGCTGGTGGAATGCATCCCGGCGCTGGAAAACCGCCGAGCAGTGATGAAAACGCTTGAAAACCACCTCGAACTTCGAAGCTCCGCCCCACTCTCCCCTGCCGCGCTCGGTTTTTCCCCCCCACGAGCCGGCCCCCCCTCCCACAATGTTCCCCCCTTCGCATGGGGCTCTGCGCGCGCTCATCGCCCCCCGTCTGCCTCGTCCGGGGTACTTGGCCCCGCCGGCCTCAGCGGCATGCTGGCCGCGAGCTGGTTGGTCCCCGCGGCTATGCTCCTCAGCTGTCGTGCCGCGGGGCGGCCGTAGGCCATGAGGCGACGAGATCTACACACATCCGCTGCCCCAGGCCTGGCCCATCCTAGGCCTCGGACACGTGTGGCCCCGTCCTGGCCAAGCCGGGGGGGCGCACACACCGCCCATGGTCCCAGGATGGGCCTGGCCTCTGGCAGTGGGTCTGACGTGTAGATCCCGCTGCCGTAAGCAACGGCAGAGCCGCGTGGGGCCACCGCGGGGCAAGCGTTCTCTGGGCCTTCCAGCTGGGGTCAGAGTGAAAAGGGGTCGGAGGATCGCGCCGCATCGCCCATGCATCGGCAATGCGGCGCGATGTGGAGCCCGATTCTCCGCGCCGAATTTGCCGATGCGCCGCACGTCGCCGATGCATCGCCGATGCATCGGTGATGCATCGGTGATGCATCGACGATGCGGCGCGATCCTCCGACCCATTGGACATTCCCCGAGGGATTCGCCAGGCTAGAAGGCGAAGCGTGCTTGCCGAGTTTGCCCCCAGCTGCGGCCAGTGATCCCTGGCCTCCTGCTCGCGCAGCCTCGAGCGCACGGCGCGGCGCAGACCGACACTGGAGCCGATCCCCCAGCTGGTCGCACCCCGAGGCTTCAATGATACCGTGACAGCGCCGAGGCGGACAGCTGGGGTGAAAAAGCCCGGGGACGAAAATAACACCGCGGGTTTTTGTCACCCCGGGTTTTTTTCACCCCCGGGTTGTTTCACCCCTGGGTTCTTGTCACCCCTGGGGCAGGATGGGAGGGAATGAAACAATTTGGGGGGTGGAGTGAAAGCGGTGGACCCGGGAGCCTAGAGAGTCTGAGGAGGAGGCGCGTCGCAGAGGACGGCGAGGGGGGGAGGGCTCGAGCGGCTGTGGGCTTTTGTGGAGGACTACGGCATCAACCCTGCCGAGCTGCCGAACGAGCTCCTGGCAGGCCGCGAGCTGCTTGCCAGCCTGCTTGTGCAGGTGGGTAGGGGAAGACTCAAGGGGCCCAAGGACACGGAAATAAATACACACAAATAAAACGAATCCCGCATATTTTCCGATATTTTCTAGGTTTTTGTCTTCCCCCCCCTTCCCATATTTTCCCATATTTTCGTGGGAATCGACGATTAATTGTGTCTGTGTGTTTTTTCCCCTCCTGAAAGGCGGGAGGAAGGCGTGGAGCCGCAAGGAGCACGGGCAAGGCGCGAGCATGCGCACACGCGGGAGCAGCTCGCCGCGACTCGCGCGTGGTGTTGGATGTGTTTGATTTCACTGTGTCTGAGCCTGGAATCGACAACAAGTTTGGGTCGGGCATTGGGATCAGAATATGCACAGCTGGGTCGCAAGCCCAGACGTGTGAGTTTCTTTATCTTGATACGCGTGTCTAGGATCCGTCGGACTATGGGAGGATTCGATCGCCACCCAGATGTTGCACCTGCATCCCCATCAGAAGTAATACAAGCCTATCCTTTCTCGGTGTTGCTGTATGGTGTATGCCTGCATGCATTCAGCCTGAACATGTCGTGGGCATTCAGCCGCGTTTCTTTGTGGCTGCAGGCAGGCTGGTGGGCTGCACGGTTGGCTATGTCCCCCCCCACATGCACTTGTAGTGCTTCTCTCGCATCTCGGGCCCCCCATAGTTGCGTTGCGAAAGTTTTTACGGTTGATTCCCGATTGCTTCGTAACGGCGGTGACGCGTCAGGAAGCCATACACAGGCATGTGTTCCTTAGGGCCATCTAGGGTCTGTTATTGGGAGTTCTTTGATGTCTGTTGTTGGGAGTTCTTTGATGTCTTCTGTGCTCTCTAGGCGCCCTCTGAGGGCTTTCGTGGCCCTCATGAGCCGATCCAGGATACCGTCGATCAAGTAAGGGCTTGCTTATTCAGGGCCCCATGTTGGAGGTTGGGTAGCCGTTATGTGGTGCCCTCTTGGTGCGCTCTTGGACCGCTTTGGGGGGCCTTAAGGTGTGTATTGGAGCCTTTCTGGACCTATATTGGGGCTCTCATGGACCATCTTGGCGCCATTTTGAAGCCTCGGAAGGCTAGGAGGTAGCAACAGGTCGAGAATGCGCAAGTCGTTGATCATCTTGTGTGCCTTGAGGGATTTTTGCTTCTTGGGGGCAGCCCCAGGAGACCCCGTGGCCACTTGGCGCCGGAGAAATTTTGGAGCTTGGAGGCAAACTTCTGGATGCCTTGGCTCGTTTTGGGCTATCTTGAGTCATTTGGGGGGACATCTGGGGGGCCATCTTGGACGCTCTGACCGCTCGCGGCCCCCACCTTCCAGACCCAGGCAGTGGGAGGGGCCAAGCTCCCAGCGAGAGCGGCGCAAACTGTCTCGCTCACTCCCACCCGCCCTCCCACTGCATTAGTAGCATTCTGCCCTAGCACAGGCAAGGGCCGGCCGGCATCGACAACCACCAGGTGCAAATGCATGCGCCACCACATTTTTGTGCAGAGTGTACTGTGTAAGATTTTTGTTAACGGGATGGTGGGGGGTGTTTTTGGCATGGTCCTGGGCTTGTCGCCGGTCGGATGGGTGAGGGGGTGTAGGTTGGCAAAGAATCATGATCAAGTTCCCCGCGATGACGCCGCAATCTGTTTTTCTCACTCCCACCCGCCTTCCCACTGCGAAAGTAACACCCAAGTCTCAGCGCAGGCTTGGACCTTGCTCCTCCTCCTCCTCCTGCTCCTCCTCCTCATCATCATCAGGGGGGACAGGAGGGAGGAGGGAGGAGGATGCAGCAGGTATGAGGGAGGGCAAGGGTGAGGATGAGGATGAGGATGAGGGGTGGGGGGGCGGGGATGGAGCAGGAGGAGGAGAAGGAGGAGGAGGAGAAGGAGGAGGGCTTGGAGGGTAGATGATGATGATGCTGCTGATGACGATGACGATGACGATGATGATGACGATGATGATGATTATTCTTCTGATGATGATGAGGAGGAGGATCGGGATGAAGATGTTGATGATGATGTTGATGATGATGATACTGATGCTGATGATGATGATTCTGATGATGGCGACGTTGCTGATGATGATGAGTGTGATGATGATGATACTCATGGTGCTGATGATAATGCTGATTCTGATGCCTAAGCAGTTGATGCTGCTGATAATGATGATTAGGTTGGTGATGGTGACGGTGATGGTGATGGTGGTGATGACGATTCTGATACTGGTGTTGATCATGATGATGATAATGATGATGCTGATGATGATGCTGATGATGATACAGATGATGATGATGATGATGATGATGATGATGATGATGATGATGATGATGATGATGATGATGATGATGATGAGTGATGAATGATGATGATGAAGATGCTGATGATGATGATGATGATGATGATGATTATGATGATGATGATGATGATGATGATGATGATGATGATGATGATGATGATGATGATGATGTTGATGGCAATGGCAATGATGATGAGGAGGAGGCGAGGAGCAAGCAGGAGGACGACGGTGGAGCATTGGAACGGTTGAGCGGGTAAGTATTGAAATTGTTGTTTCCAGTAGGTGTTTCTTGTTTGTCTTGTTGTCGTTTTTTGGTTTTCACAGCCCGCGTAAGGAGTGGATTTGTTACCCGCCCACAAAGACAAAGCGACTGTCACTCCTTGCAGATCGGATCCTGCAGTAGATCCTCTACAGACGGAGTGCATTGTGAACCCGCCGTGGAAGGAGCTGGGGCAGGAGGACAATTCTTCGGAAGAGGAGGATGAGGAGGATGTAGAGGAGGACGAACGGGGGAGTGGGAGGAGGAAGAGAAGCAAGCGAAGGAGGATGGGGAGACTGACAGGGAAAGGAGAGTGAGCCTTTTTTTTGTCCTCTCTCTCTCTCTCGTTCGACCATTCTTCTTTGTTCTTTCTCTCTCTGTCTCTTCTCTCGCTTCTTTGTTTGCTCTCTCTCTCTCTCTGTTTGTCTCTCTCTCTCTCTCTCTCCAATTTTTCGAATGCCAGCAACAGCTCAAAGTGCTGCGGTCCGAAGCCGAACTGGAACCAAGCATTCTGCTGCGCAGCGGGGGTTCGCGCGGCGCAGCGAGGTCCGCGGCAGCAGGGGTCGGCCAATCCCTTCTCGGCCACGTGCCGCAGGGGATGGAGGGAGAGGGGAGGGCTCCTTAGTCGGGGGAGCGTACACCCTAGGCGATGCTTAAGAAAACCTAAGTTTTCGTCCAGAGTCTCGATTATTCTTAACTTTTCAATGTAAATCCCAAGATTTTGATAGAAGTCCTGGGTTTTATCCAAGTTCTGAGACTATCAATTTCTTAACCCATGATTTCTTAAGCATTTCGCAGGGTGTACGACCTGGGTTTGCCAGGACTCGGGTTCGCCATCGTTTTCTGACGACCGCGCCTCGGATTTTGACGAGTAGGAGTTTCGTGGGATGTCTGCAGCGGGAGGCCTCGTCAAAATGCAGGCGCTCGGCCTCGTCATGTTTTTGACGACGTCGTCGGGGATTTCCGAGTCCCTTGTACCCAGGTCTTACGTCCCCCTGACTTAGACGCGCCCCTGCCTCTCGGAGGGTGCCTGCTTCATCTCTAGATGTAAAGCCGGCGCCCTTCTGATGCGAAGGCCTACCCCTCTCCCATACCTTCGTGTGCTCGCCACCAATCAACCCTTGCCCTGAGATCCGGGCGTTGCCATTTTTTCACGCCGGGGGTTTTCGCCCGTCCTCGGGCTCTGGGACCATCGCAGATCGATCCGGCCAGAGAAGTGCAGCAGAAAGACACGGGGTTCAGTTCTCAGGTCGTGATTTGTTCGCGATGCTGCAAGTGTTTCGCCACGTCGAATCTGGAAGCTGGCTTGTTTTGGGAGCCACGTGGGGCCGATTCTCCTTGTATGGTCTCCGCTGACCTGGGTTCGGGAGGTGCAGTCGGGTCGCTGAAGAAGGAACCCTGTTCGTTGGGGATGGGGCTCCGTGCTCGTGAACTGTTTCACAGCCTGCCTCAGGTGTTCCTGATGTTTTCGATGGGGAGTCGAAGTTTACCTTATGGAAAAAAGGGGCCTCGTTCCTTATTCAGGGTTCCTTAGGTCAAGGCCCCGACTGTACACCTGCTGCCCACCCCCCACCACCCACCACCCAGGGCGCCATGTAGGATTTTGGCGTGAGCAGGTGGATGGATAAAACGCCGATCGCCGACCTCGAGGCCTCTAGGCCTCCAGAATAGGGTTCCTTAGGTCATCGCCCCGACTGTACTGGGCGGCTGGCCAGGCTTCGCGACAGGGCCTCGGTCGACCCGGGCCTGGGCTGTGCCAGGCTGCGGCGTCCCCGGACGTCGCCCTCCCAGGAGATGCCAGTGTTGTTTTGGATCCAGGGCCTCCAGAAACCGCCGCGTGGAGGGGAGCCTTCCCGGCCGCTTCTGTTGAGACGGGGATCATAGACACAGGCACCAACGGATCTAGACTTCTGCGGCAGCAGGGGAACTAGGGGGAACGGAGGGGAAGAAACACATCCAGAACAAGATTGCAAGCTACCTGGAATCCTAGAAATCTGTGTCGCTTCATGTGCGCCCTCCCATGTGGGTGGGGAGCACCCGAGCCGCCCCCGCGGATGCCGCCCCGTGAGCGCGCGCGCGGCGGCGCGCGCCCGCGCCCGCTGCAGAATGCGCGGCGCTGGCCCTGAAGCAGCTGTACCCCGGCCCCCTGTTCTCAGACCAGGTGGCTGCTTTCTTGTGCCTTGTCTCGTCGATCGGCGCGGGCCCCCAGCACCTCACCAGTTTGAAACATGTCCCTATCCCCATGTTTGACATCACCTCACCTCGGTGCCGATCTCAAGGATTCCCTCGGTTTCTGAGGGCCTATCCCTAAGATTGTCCTCGCTTTTTGCGCGCCCATCTTGGGGATAGGGATACGTTTGAGGCTGGTTAGCCCACCCCCCCTCCCCCCACCCCACAGACCATGTCTTGGCTGCCCTCGGCGGCTGCTGCCGGCGACTGGTCAGGATCCCCACCCCGCCCGGTCTGCTTGCGCGACTGGTAGAGGCAGCTTGACTGGGGCCCGGCCAGGGCCCAGACCCCCCCATTCCCCTCTCCCTTCGTCGAGGGCGGCGAGGGGAGGGTCGGATATGATGGCGGGGGCACGATGTTCCCCCAGATTGCATGGCGCCTCTTCTTATTTCAGCTCGTCCCCAACCTCCCCACGATTTGCCCCCCCCCCTCCCCCCTCCCCCCCTCCCTCCCCCCCCCTTTGTCGTGCCGAACGAAAGGGGTGGATAGGTAAAGGGGGGGGGGGGGGGGCGAAATCTGCTGCATGCAGCTGGTTTAGGCCCCCATTTTTGATGGGTGGGCGCCTCCTGGCGCCAGGAGGCGCCAGGAAAACGAGCTACGGGAGCTGATTCTCTGCCCTGCCCTTCGCGATCCTACCATCTCGACCCCCCCGATCTTGGACGCCCCGCGCGTGGGCGCCCCCGACTTCGGCCAGATGCCGACACCCAGAAAAAGACCAAATACCGTCCGGGCCTCCCGGACGGGGGTCCGAGTCTCGGTGGGGTCGGGTGAAGGCGCCGCATCGCCGATGCAGCGGCGATGCGGCTCGCATCGGCGATGCGGCTCGATGTGGAGCCCGATGTTCTCGGCGCCGAAGTCGCCGATGCACCGCCGACGCCGCCGATGCATCGCCGATGAACCAGCGATGCGGCGTGGTCCTCCGACCCCATCTACTCGGACCCCATGTGGGAGGCCTCGGGATGCTCGAGGAAAGAAGCACAAAGGCCACGACCTGGATGTCGCGGGATCTTGTCGACGCCGATCTGGGTCACGAGCCATGCTGGTCGTTGCCGATTCGCGAGGATAACTTGCGAATCGACGATTGCCAAGATGGGTGGTGACCAAGATCGTCATTGACGTCTCTACGTACAGTCTTGGTCATGGTCATCGTTTTCTTGCCCTCCAGATGCTGCAGATGCCCCTCTCGTCTTCGACACGCTGTGGCGCTGCTGCTTCCTTTCTAAATTCGACTCGTTTGCGCTCGACCCATCTGCGGTCTCAGTCAGATGAGGAACGTGTGCCGATACCGCTGCGCTTCCCTCGTTGCCACGGCTGTAGTCGCCTCTGAATTCTGGTCAGCACGGCTCCCCTGAGGTGGGCCGTGGATCCGCGGTGTTGCCATCGGCTGGCTCTCCATTTGCTGCGGCCCCTCCAGACGCCTCTGCTCTGACTGCACCTCTGGCGTTCGCTTCGTGGTGGCATGGCCGCAGCCCTCGCCACGTGCAACCCCGACGCCCGACGTGTCGAAACGCCACAGAGAATCGGGCTAGTCGGCGCCTGCGTGAGGTCGCGCGTGCGCGCCCGTGCCTCCAAAGCAGCGTGCCGCGCTGCCGGCTCGCGAACGCCGCCGCACAGGGCCGCCTCGTCACCTGGCGTAAGACCTTTTTGTTTTCGTTGTTGCTCACATCCCAGAGCGGTGCCTCAGCCCCCTCCTCCTCCTCCTCCTCCTCCCTCCTCCTCCTCTCCTCCTCCCTCCTCCTCCCTCCTCCCTCCTCCCTCCTCCCTCCCTCCTCCTCCCTCCTCCTCCTCCTCCTCCTCCCCTCCGCCCTCCTCCTTCCTCCTCCCTCCTCCTTCCTCCTCCTCCTCCTCCTCCCTCCTCCTCCTCCTCCCTCCTCCTCCTCCTCCCTCCTCCTCCCTCCTCCCTCCTCCTCCTTCCTCCTCCTCCTCCCCCTCGCACCTGGGGGGAGCGCTGCTTCACCAAATCTCGAGTGGGGAGCGGAGAGCGCCAGCCGCCCGCCGCCACTCGGGCCAGCTGGTCCAGCCGCCTCGGGGCGATGGGACCCCGGGCCTCGGAGACACCGCCGTGGACCCCGGACCTCGGGAGCAGTGGGGCCCGTGCGAGCTGTGCACCACCACCCATACAGGCAAGAGAGGGCCATCAACCTTTCAACCCGTGCCCATCGGTCGTTGAAAGTAGGTATTTTTAGGTTCCCGGATTCCAATCTACTTTGAGCGCCTTCCTACTTCAAGAGTCGAGTGGCTTTCCCTCTCCCCTCCTCTTCAGGAGGCGGGGCGGAAACCCGATCTATTTCCAACGCCTTCCTACTTCATGTTTCTACCCACTTCTTCCGACCGATGGGTACAGTCAAGAGAGGGCCATCAATCTTTCAACCCGTACTGCCGAGCATCTGATGGAGACGCCGGCTCCCGACGGGCTGAGCCAGCGTTTCTGAACCAACTCGCTGGGAATCTGGCCCAGTTGCCCGAGCACTTTGGCCCCTCCAGCGTTAACACAACACGGGTTGGCACGCGTTTGCTTGAAGAAACTTCCAGGAAGCTGGCCCAGAATTATTGCATACTAATTTCCTTGATGATCTTTTCGACGGTATTATGCCTGGACCTGGGACATTTCCCCTGTGCTGGGACACACTCAGCGGCAGGCTCAACTCCTGGTCGTGCCCTTCCGTCGGTTCCCTGGAGTTTCAGCGTTGCGACGCCCTCGGGGCCAGAGACCGCTGCTCTCGGATGTGGCCGCCGTAAGTCAGACGCTGCCTCGGGGGGGCTGCCCGTCCTGCGCAGCAGGCAGCAGGCCCATCAGTGTCTTGGCGTGCTGGGCCCCACGGCAGGATCGCGAGGGGCAGCCTGCTTCAGGATCGAGCTTCCAAGGCCCCAGCGCAGCGCATCGAGATGCGGCTGACATCTCCGGACACCTGCCGTCTTTCCACGGTGTCGAAGGTCTGGGCAGGCGTCTGGGACCCGGGGCACGCAGATGGCCGACAGTCTCCCTCGAGTAGTCGGCTCCATGCTCTCTCTTGCATTTGCCCGAGGGTTTCCCGCATCTGGAAGCCTGACGGGGATGAGATTCCACGCGGCAGCGCAAAGCCGGAATCCCGTGCATTGAAATGATGGCCAGCTGCCTGCAGCCAGTCACGCCACCGTACCGGCCTCGTTTTTGTTGGGTGCCAACGTTGGCGAGAGAGAGAGAGAGGGAGAGAGTGAACGAGAGACAGAGAAAGAGAGAGAGAGAGAGAGTGAAAGAGAGAGAGAGAGTTCAGGTCTTGCGCCCACCAGGAAACAAAACCGAAGCTCCGACAACATATTTTTGCATTTTTTTGAAATTTGTTTTGGTGGCGCCGAAGGGTGGCGTTGTCGCGCGCACGTCCCAACTTGGACCGGGGCCAACCGCCACCCATGCATCGCGCGAGTGTCTTTATTGCCACCACTTGGGCGCGAATTCATGAAACGGTGGTAAGGCGAGAAAGATGAGAGCCCGATCGGCCTGCATTGGGAACGTAACGGTTTTGACACTGGCACCGGCGATCGAGTCAATATCCTACCACCCAATATTGCAGACACGAGGATTTTGGCCGTGAAGCAGCCCTAGTAGCAGCGTGCGTGTCGCTAAAGCGAGAGCACGCCTTGGAAATGGAGCCGCCCTGCATCCGTCCCTGTGATTGCGAAGCTTGCGACATGAGATCGTGGGAGGTTTCAGGCAAGAGTACGGTGCGAAAAAGAATCCGCTCTCCATCCGTGTAGTTGTTTCTTCGCAGTGGGGAGCTGTGGAATCGAAGTGAAGCAGCAGGGGAAGGAGGGGAAGATTAGCGGAGGAGGAGGAGGAGGAGAAGGAGGAGGAGAAGAACGAGTAGAGAGAATGGGAAGCTAGGGAGGGGGAGGACGGTGTGGAGGAGGAGGAGGAGGAGGAGGAGGAGGACGAGGGATTAGGAGGAGGAACGCGATGGCAGAGGGTAATGCTCTCAGGTCCCACTAATTTGCCATTATTCTGTGTGCTGAAATTTCCGCTACGGGAGTGTACTTGGAAAATGGTTCGCCGCCCAAGAACGACGGCCAGGTTCGATTTCCCAAGTGGCTCTGTTTCCTCCTCTTCTTCCTTGTCGTGTCTCCGATCCTCGGTGTCTCCTCTTCATTCCTTACCTTCCCCATCCTACATCATCGTTGCCATCCACGCCTTCTCCCTCCTCCTCCTCCTCTTCTCCCCCTCTTCCTTCTCCTCTTCCTCATCCCCTTCTTCCTCCTCCTCCTCCTCATCCTCCTTCCTACCACCCTCTCCATCCCTCCCTTCCTCCCCCTCCCGTGCACTTTCTCTCCCCCCTTCCTCTCCCCTTCCCGCTCCCCCTTCCTCTCCCCCTCCTCCCTCCATCCCTCTCTTCCTCCCCTTCCCATGCACTTTCTCTGCCCCCTTCCTCTCCCCTTCCCGCTCCCCCTTCCCTCTCCCCCTCCTCCCACACCGCCTGCCCCCCGCCTCTCTCCTCCAGCCCCCCCCTGCCCCCTCCTTCTGGCCGCACGGCCTGCCGGCGACCCGTGCCACGCACCGAAGCGCCGCCCCGACCCCCGACCGTGCCGAGGCCCGTGGGAGCCCGAAATCCCGAGATCCGCCTCCTTATATGGAGGAGGACGATTCATAAATGACCCGGGGTCGCGTTCACGCGGCGGCGCCCGGTATGGACGATTAGAAAAAACCAGCCGCGGTTTGGAAAACTATTCTTTTTTCGGGGGTGGATAGAACCCCCAATAGTGGCCGCGAGGCGGCCGCGCATATCGGCTGACCCGGGTTTGCGCAGACCTGCGTTGCAGTTTTTTTTTTTCTTGCACTGCAGTTTTTGGCTTCCTGCTGACCCGGGTCTGGATTGACCCGGGTCAGAAGATTCCCGATAAACCATCCCCGAAGACACAGGGAACTTCCCAGCAGGCCGGAGTGCTTCCGAGAAGCCCCGCCGCCTTCCGAGAAGGCTCTCTTCTTCTTCTTCTTCTTCTTCTTCTTCTCTTTTCTCCTTCGCTCGCCGCCGAACCTGGGTTGTTGAAGTCTGGTGTGTGTCTGGTGTCTGGTGTGTGTCTTTCCATGCCTACATCTTTCTGGCTGCCACAGAAGCTGGCGCGCTCCGAAGAGGAGGCGGAGGAGGGGGGGAGGAGGATCGCGCGATGCCGCCTGCCAGGTAGACTACGCCGGCCCGATCCCGCTCATGCGAAGGGCATTCGAAAACACGGAGGGCTCTTGGTGAGGGAGGGGTAGCTCGAAGAAAACAGGCATCACCAGAAACGACCGGAGGTCCATGCATATGTCTTGTATCGGCGCTGGACACTTATGTTGGAGGGGTGTCCAGCGCCGATCCTAGAAATCCGCGTGGACCTTCGAAGTTTCTGCTTGTATCGCTTTTGTGGTTCTTCCAGAGATGGTGGGTCTTCTCTTTGTGCTTCCGTCGGTGTTTCTATGCTGGTCGCTGCAGATCTGCCGCACGGCGTCCACCCCAAGCAGGATCCAGCGTGTCAGCTTGCCCCTTTGGCCGTGTACCTGCCCCTCAGGCCCGTGCGGCTGGGAGCCGAAATGGTTTGGAGGTTGTATGCTCGTGAGGTGGAGGATTATGCAACCTGTTCTGCGGAACTTGCTGGAGTTGGTGCTCTAGAAGGCAACGGTAATAAAAGTCTCAGGTGATGTTCGATTCTCTGTGACATCGTTTCGCCTTTTCCGTTGCATGCTGAGCGGGCGTGAATGAGGTGGCTGTGATTACTCACCCGTCGTTGAACGTATGCTCGCATACTTCGTGTTTCTACCCACTTCGTCCGACCGATGTGGAAATACCAGGACGCAGCCGGGCAGTTGCGCGACAGTTTCTGATCTGTCCCAAATGGCCTGCGTCACCCACTGTCAGACAGGTCGAGCTGGTGGTGATGATGACGATGTTGAGTTAGATACTGCTATTCTTACCTCTATGATTAAAAGCAGCACCCACAATGTTACAATCATGCAGGTCGTTGAAAGTAGGTATTTCTTTACTCCCAGATCCCAATCTACCGTAAAGATCCCAATCTACCCCAGGCGCCTTCCTACTTCAAGAACCGCGATGCTTTTGCCGTGTTCTGTTATTTTCTGGGAGGGCCTGAACCCAATCTACCCTGCCCGCCTTCCTGCTTGCTTCTGATGTTACCTGCCTCTCCCGACCGACGCGTAAGACTGTGACCACCCATCTTCGTGCTGTGACTTCTCGATGGGTACTGGGATAGGGCGACGAGATCTATACATATCCACTGCTCCTGGCCAGGCCCATCCTGGGCCCAGGAGCTGTGTATATGCCTCCCTGGCCAGGCCAGGGAGGCATATACACCGCTCCTGGGCCCAGGATGGGCCTGGCCAGGAGCAGTGGATATGCATAGATCTCGTCGCCCCATGGGAGGACAGCCTGGGGTCCACGACGATCCTGCTGGCCGTGCTGGACAACAGCACCAAGATACACGGCCCGCCCGCCCGCCCGCAGCGCGGGGAGGCCCGAGGCGGGGCGGGGGCGCCCGCCCCCGGAGCTCGGGTGGGCGCGCGGTGCGCTGCCGGCCGCGCGTCGGCACCGGCAGGAGGGGGAGGAGGAGGAGGAGGAGGAGGCGGTGGGAGGGAGGAGGAGGCGGAGGAAGCGGAGGAGGAGGAGGGGGAGGAGGAGGAGGATGGACGAGGAGGAGGAGGCGGAGGGAGGAGGAGGAGGAGGGAGGCGGAGGAGGAGGAGGAGGAGGCGGAGGAGGAGGAGGGGGAGGAGGAGGAGGAGGAGGGGGAGGTGGAGGAAGAGGTGGAGGAGGCGGAGAGGAGGACGAGGAGGGGGAGGAGGCGGAGGAGGAGGAGGAGGAGAAGGAGGGTCGTTCCCTGCTGCGCGTTCCAGAACGTGCCTCGCCTTCAAGGATCGAGGGACTTGCCATCCATCTCTCCCCCGGCGGAAGGCGGCGGAATGTCGGCGGACACCAGCGGAAGCAAAACTGGGCCGTCTCCGCCAGCCGAAGGTGGACCGGAGCCGGCGGAAGTGAAAAGCTGTCTCCCAAGAGCTGGCAAGGTTCTTTGGGTTCAGGTTTTGTTTTTGAGTCCGCCATATAGGCCAGGTCCCTCCTGGTCCCGGAAGGGAGTTATTTTTTTTTTACCCTCTGACGGTGACGGGCGTGACGGGAAGGGGGGAGGGGGAGAGGGGGCCGGTCACGTCAGGATTTGCGCCAACGCCGTCTGGGGCTGCCCAGGAATAGCTGATTTTTAGACGGCGCGGGCGCGAATCGTGACGTGCACCAGGGGTGGTGGGGGGGCGGGGCCAGTCACGGTGCGTTATCACGAATCATATTTCTCAAGCAGTGGCGAAGCGTCCTGGTTTGCCTACAGCCCTACCAACCAACGTTATGATAATCTTTTGTGGTCTCCACGAAATGTTCTTAGAACATTTTTGGCGGAGTCTGTCTTGTTGTATCACATCGGGTTTAAGTTCTAAGAACATTGTTCTTGTTGTTAGAACATTTTTTCGGGTTCCGAGAACATGTCGCGGTAGGACTGTAGGAATGCCGGGACGGTCGGTCCCAACTCAAGTGTCATGACGTATGACAAGTGCTCTTTTGCACCAGTGTGGGCCAGGCTCCTCCTGCTCCCGAGAGTGGGGGGCAGCTCTGTCTGTGCGGCGGCGCGCCGAGGGGGGGACGTGCTCCTGGTGTTCTCGGACGTTTTTGTCGTCGGCTCCGGGGTGTTCTCCAGCCTCGGGAGCCTGCCGGCGGGTCTGCCCCGCCGGGGGCGGTCCACGGGTGCCCGAACCGTCCCGAGCGGCCGCCAGAGACTCGAGTTCTGGCGGGAAGACCCCCCTTCCGAGAGCGCTCCTCCTGCGTACCGCCTCGTGGCGGCACCATTAAGGGCTCAGCTGCGTTGGTCGGCCCCTCGCTCCTCGACCCTCACGTGCGCCTCCTGCGTTCTCCTCGCGAGCTTGCAGACGGAAGAAATGCAGAAGGGGTGGGGAACGAAGAGAGGACAACGGGGAATTCGGAATCGGAAACCTGGGCCTGGAAAGCCTGTCGGCCGAAATTGGATCGGCGGCAAACCGGGAAGTGTGAGGCTGGCCTGCCGAAATCGGATGCGCATTCCTAGCGCACCCTTCAGCCACGCGCAGAGGGGGGTGGCGGAGCTGGGAGGGCGTCTTAGAAGGCGCCGACCTTATCTATAGATGTAAGGCTGGCGCATTCTAAGAAGCCGTCCCCCTTGCCTCCCTCGACCCCGTCTGTGCGTTCCGCCAAACCCTGATGACCATAGTTTTCTAAGAGGACGCCCTCAGCGCCTGGGGAGCATGTTCAGGGTTCGGGAGTGGGGGTCTGCGTGAAGGCGCATGGCGGTCGGGGTAGCGAGGACGGCCCAGGTTCGCCCGCGCACCCCGACGATGCTTTTTGGGGGCACGGAGACCCCCAACCGGGAAATCGTTTCGTTTCGTTCGCGTCCTGCGTGCGGGCGAGGCGAAGCTGCGTGGGCGCGCTAGAGGAATGATACTGCCGCTGCTAGAGTGAAGTCAAGACAAATGATTCTCCCCCGCCCGTCCGTCCGTCCGTCCGTCCGGCGGTGGCTCGCGGTGTCCCGCGGTGTCCCGCGGTGTCCCGTGGTGTCCCGTGGTATCAGGTGGTGTCCGCCGTTGCTAGAGCGAGGTCAAGATTCTCCCCCGCCCGCAGAGCACCCTGGACCGCTCTCAGACCGCTCCCAGAGCACCCTGGAGCGGCCCTGGAGCTCCCAGACTGCCCCAGAGAGTTCCCAGAAGCCCTCGGGGACTTCGACAAGCCACTCCAAGACAGCCCAGATAGCCCCAACGTGGTCCAAGATGGGTTCGAGAACGCAAATACACAGCCCAAGAGGCCTCCAAGAGGCTTCAAGAGAGCTCCGAGAAGCATCCCGAGAGAGCCCGAAGAGACCCTAATCATTGATTTTCGAAATGTGTTTTCAATGTTTATTCGGTTCCTGGCGCTGTCGACCTTCCCACGCTCCAAGGCGGCAGACGACGCCCCCAAGACCGCCCCAAGAGCGCCGAAGAGGCCCCAAGAGAGCCCTGAGACGGCCCCAGGGAATTTGAAAATTGCCCAGGAGCCCCAGACGGCCCAAGGGAGCCCCCGGACATGGCCAAGCTGAGCCACAGTGCGCGAGCGGGAGGCGTCAAGGCGCTCCAAGACGGCCCGGATGGCTTCAACGTGGCCTCAGATGTGCCTAACACGGCAGATGCACAGCCCAAGAGGCCTCCAAGAGGCCCCAAGAGAGCTCCGAGAAGCATTCCGAGAGAGCCCGAAGAGGCCCCAATCATTGGTTTGCATTGGTTTTTGTTTTAACGTTTTTTGGTTCCTCGCGCTTTCGACCTTCCCACGCCCCAAGACGGCCGACGACTCCCCCCAAGACCGCCCCAAGACCGCCGAAGAGGCCCCCAAAAGAGCCCCAAAACGGCCCCAGGGAGTTTGAAAATTGTATAAGAGGTGCCCCACATGGCCCAAGAGAGCCCCATGACAGGGCCAAGCCGGGGTACACACCGCGAGCGGGTAGCGCCAAGGCGCTCCAAGACGGCCCAGATGGGCCCAACACGGCAAATACACAGCCCAAGAAGCCTCCAAGAGGCCTCAAGAGAGCTCCGAGAAGCATCCCGAGAGAGCCCGAAGACGCCCCAATCATTGATATTTGTATGTTTTGTTTCAGTGTTTTTCTGTTTCTTGCGTTTTCGACCTTCCCACGCTCCAAGACGGCCGACGACGCCCCCAAGACCGCCCCCAAACCGCCGAAGAGGCCCCCAAAAGAGCCCCGAGACGGCACCAGGGAGTTCGGACATTGCCCAGGAGGAGCCCCAGACGGCCCAAGAGAGCCCCAGGTCAGGCTCAAGCTGGGCCACAAAGCGCGAGCGGGAGGCGCCGAGGCGTTCCGAGACGGCCCAGATGGCCCCAACGTTGCCTCATATGGGCAAAAGCATTGAATGTGACGACGGGGCAGAGCGGAAGTGAAAGTGGAGGGAAAACTGGAGTTCGACAAACCAAACACTGGCGGCAGCGAGATTGTGAGATGCGCGGGAACGTGGCGCCCCGCTCTCTGACTACGCGTTTCTTTGCGTCGATGGCATAGGCCCGAGAACGTTGGAAATCGTCGTTGTGGCCACTGCGGGGCTGATAGCGGCGCCCGTGGCTCATCTGCGACTAGAACCTAAGCGCGCGCGTAGGGCGCGCGCGGTTCTAGTATTGTGAGATGTTTCGTATCGCCCTAGCTCTTCGCGTAATGAGTCACGTTCGGCCGTCAGAGGTCAGTGTGCAGGTCTACACCATTGATGCAGTTCTGCCTCTCTCTCTCTCTCTTTCTCTCTCTCTTTCTTCCTCCCGTCCCTTTGGGGCTCAATGGCTTGAGGCGCGAGCGCGAGTGCTCGCGGCGGATGGCAGGGGCTCTTTGGACTCCTGGGCTGCAGGCTGCGGCACAGGTCGCCCGGTCCTATCTCCTGCGGTGCCTTGCGGCCCCGCCGTGCCCCTCGCTGAGCTGCCCGCGGGCCGCGCCCTGCCCGCGGCCCGTGGCGTGCCCGCCGTGCCCAGCGTGCCACGCCAGTCAGTGTCCGGCGCCGCCAGAGGCTGAGGGCTGCAGCGTGCAGAGCTCACGCGGGCTGGTGCTGTTCCTGCTCGGCGCGTTGGCGGGGTCGGCGATCGCTGGCGGTTTCCTGGCGTTCGTGCTGAGCGTCGGCCGAGTGGCGATCGGCGGCGTAGGTCACAGAGCCGGGCATGTCGGAGCGGGGCGAGGAGTGCCAGACGGCTCGGGTGCGCCACCGAGTGGGAGGGCCTGCTTTCTGCTTTCTACTATCAAATGTTGTTTTTGAGGCGGCTCTGGTCGTTGGCTGACGCGCGGGTGATCCTCGCGCCAGATAGCGACATGTACGTGGAGTACTTGGTCATCGGAGATGATGTTCGCGAGCTGCTTTGGGAGAGTGTTCCTGGGGTCGAGCCTCCGCAGGCGCGCGGCCGATGCTATCGTTTCGGCCAACCTGCTCATAGAGATGGGCTTCGACGGCTGGGTCAGTAAGCAGGTGCTTTGCGTTGCCAGGGGGGCAGCGCCAGGGGCTGCCGCCGGGCGGTCGGCCGCGACGGCGAGGGCGACGACTTCCCTCCGTCGATCGAGGGGCCTCCGCTTCCGAGGGGGCCTCCACCGTGGCTGCCGCCCCTGGAGCCCCCAGCGCCGCCCGGACGTTGGGCGATAGCTGTGGAGTGCGATGGGAGGCGAGCTGGCGACGTCGCGGAGCTCGCCCCGGCGGCGCGGGCGTCGGGCGATTCGCTGGCGGGGCTGGCCCAGCTCCCCAGCGGGTCCTGGGCGTCGGAGCGGCCGCGGGATGGCGACACTCCTGGGGGGCACCGCAGCCGCGCAGCGAGCCGCCGCGGCGACGGACACGGAGGCCTGGACGCGCGAGCGCTCGGGAGCGCGCCAGCGCCCGTGGAGGGGGGCGGTCTCCAAGATGGCGCAGGTG